CCGCCGCCGCCGCCGCCGCCGCCTCTAGCTACCCCGCCGCCTCCGCCTCCTCCCGCGCCGCGCCCACTGCGCAAGCGTCGCCCGCCTAGGCCCCGCCCCTTCCTCTCTCGGAGGCCCGCCCTTCAGTGGCGTCACAACCCCGTGACGTCCCCCGCGTGATCTCACCTCGGTGGAGCGAGGGGGCGGGAAGTGGGGAGAAAAAAAGGGACGCCCTGCGGCGGCGGCGGCGGCGGCGGCGGCGGCGGCGGCGGGTGGTTCCTGGCCTGACCTTTTCCTCGCCCCGCCCCCACTCCAAGGGGAGGAGTTAAAGTCCGGGGTTAGAGGAGAAGGTCCTGGATCTTTGTCTGTGACAACCTCGCTAACCTATCCCCCCAACCTCCTCCCCGCCCCCCCGCACACACTTTGCAGGTGAAGAATCAAAAGTCCAGGGAGGGGCAGAGACCGTAGCAAGGTCAAGTAGCAAAGTGCACGCAAGACCCTGTCTTCCCAGCTAGGAGTCTGAGTCTCGCGTTGGAAAGGTTTGCGTGTGTAAGTTTCCAGAGCCTCTTTCCCAGAAGGATGCTGCCGTAAGTGGTCTCCTCGCCACCATAGATGATGATTATTACAGTTTATCTATGCTGTTTCTGTTATGCAACGGTAGCATCGTGTCTCCAATAAATAAAGGAGGCCTCGATACAAGACGTCAATCACAGGTACGGACGAACAACACACAATCTTCCACCAACCCCATCAGGAGCACCTCTCTCAAGATAAAGGTAAGTCACGGAAATTTGGCATGCCTTGTTCTGTTTTAAAAATAGAAGGCAACCGATTACTGTACATATGGTACACCTACCTGATCATGGCCCCATTTTAAGATCAAAGAATGAGAAAAGAAGCATAGAGACCATCTTGTCTACCCCTGTGCATTCCTTCTTTCAGCAAATATCTTTTTGGCTGGCACTCTACTAGGTCGAGTGAAGGAAAAGATAGGTAAGAAATGATCTGCTTTTAAGTAGCTCACTGTGTTTTACAGATAAGAAAAGTGAGACCTAGAGAGCTTACATGCTTGTCCAAAAATGTAAACTAGTTGCCATGGAGTCATCAACTCATAGTGACTCCATGCATGTCAGAGTAGAACCGTGCTCCAGAGGGTTTCAGTGGCTTGTTTTTCCGAAGTAGATCACCAGGCTTTTCTTCTTAGGTGCCTCTGAGTGGACTTGAACCTCCAGCCTTTGTGTTAGCACTTGACACTAACCGTTTCCACCACCCAGGGACTCCTGTCCAAAAGTACATAGAAGCAAAACTGGAACACAGCTTTGTGATTCTAATGGGGTATTTTTACATAACAACAATTGAAACAGCGGGCATGGCTTGAAGAAATGAGCAGTAGTGTCAGCGGAAGGAGCCCTGGTGGTGCAGTGGTTAAAGCACTCGGCTGCTAACTGAAAGATCAGCTGTTCAAACCCACTAGCCCCTCCGTGGGAGAAAGATGTGCCAGTCTGCTTCCATAAAGATTTATAGCCTTGGAAAACCTATGGGGCAGTTCCACTTTGTCCTGTAGAGTCCTATGAGTTGGGATCGACTCAATGGCAGTGGGTTTGGTTTTGGTAGTGTTTGGGGTAGTAGTGGTTCAGTGCTGGAATTCTTGCCTCCCATGCTATGGGAGACCCAGGTTCAATTCCTGGCCAATGCACCTCAAGCGCACGTCAGTGGAGGTTATGTCAGTGAAGGTTATGTCAGTGGAGGTTATCGTGTTGCTATGATGCTGAACAGGTTTCAGTGGAGCTTCCAGACTAACATTAGGAAGAAAGGCCTGGTGATCTACTTCCAAAAAACCAGCCACTGTAAACGCTATGGAGCACAGTTCTTCTCTGACAACATGAACTCGTGGAGAATCAATTGACACCAACTGGTTAGTTTCTGGGGTGCCAGGAGGTTTTGAAAAGAGAAAGCATTCTACTTCCTTCAGTCCCAGTACCAAATAAGAGTTAGTAAAACATAGTGGCTTAAAAAGTCTGGGTTCTGGGGTCACACACATTGGGGATACAAATTCTTATTCTGCTGCGTATTGGTAATAATAGTGCCTACTCTGATAGGATTGTTGTCAGGATTAAATGAGGCAACAATATATGAGATGCTTAGTACAGTGCCTGCTCCATAAGAAGCACTCAATAAATAGTTAACTAGTATTGTGGCTATAAACATGAGAAGGCTGCAGGGTTAGGTAATGATACAAGTAGGCAGGGATTCCTTCTTCACCTGCCCCCTCTTCTATCTTATTTCCCTTTCCAAAAAAACACCCCAAACCTGTTGCCATCAAGTCGATTATGACTCATAGTGACCCTCCAGGACAGAATTTTCTTCAGTGAAAGTTTGTTGGTGACAAATGCTCTGGAATTTTGTTCATATGAAAATGTTTTTCTCATTATTGACGGGATTCCAGACGCGCAGTTATTTTCATTCAGCATATTGAAGACATCACTGAACTATTTCCGGCTCCCATCATTGCTTCTGAAAAGTCAGCAGTTGTAATAACTTTCGTCTTTATAGGTACTCTGCCTTTCCCACCTCTGGCTGCTTTTAAGATATTCTCTTTGTCTTGGGTATTCTGTGTTTTCACTATGATATTTCCAGGGTGTTTTTCTTTTTATTTGTATTGATTGGGGTATTTTGAGCTTCTTGAATATGTGAATTGGTGTTTCTTCCTTTCTGGAAGCTATTTTCAGAAGAAGTAGGCAGCATCATCAGTGCTCATGAAGTATTCATCACCCTCTTCCAGTACCTTGCACTAGCATCTGGCTGTCTGTCTATGGTACAGGTTCAGCTTTTACTAGAGGGCCAACTGACCTATTACCAGCTTATAGCTACCACGGTCACCACTGGGAAGTTCTGTACCCTCCATCCAATGGTTGCTGTATGTACCTGGGGGTATCTATACAACAAACTTTTCATGGCACTGGGATGGCCCATGGCCCCTCATTGGGGGATGGTGTTATACTGATTAATAGTAACAAAATTGCTGGGGAATTTAATGGCTGTTCTTTTCAAGTTTTCCACATTTCCTAAGGTAAAAAGACCAGAACATTGTGAACCAGTTACCTTTGGTCAGTTTTATACCATAAACATTATCAAAATATGATCTCTAGAAACCCATGTTGGAGGTACAGGTTTTCTGGCAAAATGAATTGAAGAAGATGCTAAAAGACAACTCTCAGTTTCAGAATTTTCCTTAGGAGCTAGAAACCAGTGATGCCTCTTTAGGCACTGTCTTAGTTATCTAGTGCTGCTATAACAGAAATACCACAAGTGGATGGCTTTAACAAAGAGAAATTTATTCTCTCACAGTCTAGGAGGCTAGAAGTCCAAATTCAAAATGCCAGCCCTGGGGAAAGGCTTTCTCTCTCTGTCAGCTCTGGGGAAAGGTCATTGTCATCAATCTTTACGTGGTCTAGGAGCTTCTCAGCGCAGGGACCATGGGTCCAAAGGACATACTATTCTCCTGTCTCTTGCTTCTTGGTGGTATGAGAGCCCCTTGTCTCTCTGCTCGCTTATCTCTGTATCTCAAAAGAGATTGATTTAAGACACAACCTAATCTTATAGATTGAGTCCTGCTTTATTAACATAACTGCTGCTAATCCCACTTCATTAATATCATAGAGGTAGGATTTACAACACATACAGGAAAATTACATCAGATCACAAAATGGTGGACAATCACACAATACTGGGAATCATGGCCCAGCCAAGTTGACACACATTTTGGGGGGACACGATTCAATCCATGACAGACACTTATACAATGTTTTCCTATTACAAAATGCTTCATAACCTAGGCAACCTAGGCAACCCTTCATTACTACCCTATGCTCAAGCTGAGAGACTTTTTTTTTTTTTTTTTGGTGGGTTTGAAGACAACACAAAGAGTTAAGAGTAATGATGTACCTACAAGGAATATTTTTCATCATTTTGATCAGGGTATGTGGCACGATGATGTTTACTTGCTGTTGAACCTGTGCAGAGATACTAATAGGCACCTATGGACACAATGACAGCAACCTGCTTTCTAGTGAACTCAGTGCAGCTCTGCACAAACATCACAGGGTCACTGAAATTTCAGTTGTTTAGCATTTTAAGAACATTTTGGGAACTATTTAGACATCAATTATGGACAGCTTCTGAGTTTCCAGCTGGGTATACATTTCACATCTAGACGCCCAATACAGAGAAGACTGTCAGCTTGGGGGCTATCCTATCGGCCTGAATCAAGTTTCCTCATTTCACTGTGGGACAATTTCACAGCTTAGGGAAGTTGTACAGATTCACAACTGTCTTAACATTCTTGGTTTAGGAAACCTGTGGAGAGTTTAAGTATATCTCTTCACCTTCCCAAGAACTTTATGCTTAGACGTCATAGATAATACTGTAGCAGTAGTCTACTAAGACTGTACAAAGGTTATTGATGCCACAAATTTCTCCCAACATCTTCATGACGTACTTGACCATTCGTTAGCTCATCTGGAATTTTACAACTCACTTGACAGTTGTAATTCTTGATCATAATAGTGATGCTCTTTTAAACTAATAGGACAATAAGAGGCACCCTTAAAAGCCTATTTCTTTAATCTGTTGTCCAGAAATCATCTTTAAACATTGAACCAAAAATGTCTCATGAAATCGTCTTTAAACTAAACAGCAGTTTAGCTCAATTGATAAAGAATGTCTACCTTGATCATTGTGCTCTATTAAAGAATTATCTCTGTGAGATCAAATTGACAATAGGAACTCTAAAGCACAGATGAGAACGTTAAGGGGCAAAGAGTCTATGTTAATGGTGGTAAAACAATACAGGTACAGACAGTGAGAATGGTGACACAATGTGAAGAATGTAACCAATGTCATTGAACTGCACATG